AATCTAACTTTTTTTTTTTTCAGTGGCCCTAATTTTCCGTACAGGGCCCATTAAAGAAACTGGGGACATTTTGAATGGCTACTACTGTACAGTACATGCTTTTTTTAAAGTAATGATAGCTAATTGTTTTTTACAGAATAACGACTGTCATATAAACATAAAGTTTTGAGGAAGTTAGTTTTCAAACAGCTTGGAGCAGAAGAAGAATGAATAGTTTGTCTCACTCTGCCAGCGGATCGTTGCTGTGAATGGAGGCGGCGTCCGCGATGTCTGCCCCCTTCCCGACGCTCCTCAGGGAGCGCAGCGATGCGGCCCGATGGAGCGGGGCGTACTGAGCGGACGCATGGCTGGTCCTGCTCGCCTGGTGTTGCCACTGTGCCCCCCCGCTGTCGGCGTTGCCGTAGAGACCTCTGCCGTTGGCCACCATGGCGTCCTGCCCAAACCCAGAGCTTTGCTGCTGGTAGTACTGCTGTCGGTTGGTGATCCGGTTGATCATGCGATGAGACGGGCCTTTATAGGTGTACTGGAGTGGCAGCTCCTCGTCCTGCCATTGGCCTCTCTCCTGGGCCAGGACCCCGCTAAGGCTGCGCCTGAGGGTTCCAGGTGGCGGCACAGATAGCGGTACCAAGAAGGTCTCCTGGTGGACCGAACCTGGAAGGGGTAAGGCTCTTTGGTCCTCCTGGCACAGGGACTTAGAGCGGTGACTTCTGCTCTGCATCTGCGTGCTGTGGAAGCTGCTCTGCGTGCTGCTGGTTTCTTTATGCCTCACCTTTGAGCTGCTGTCCACAGCAGAGTGGGAGGAGATCCCAGAGGCATGAGAAGGTACCTGCAGGGTTAGTGAACGGAGAGGAAAGGTGATTTCTCTGCACAACAGAAATCCCATCATGGCTCAGTAAGGAAGCTGAAGTGTAGCAGCATGTTTAGCTCTGGTTACTGATCAGCAGGAAACACACCGAGGTTTCTGCATTGTTAGACGGGCCAGAGTCCAACATCCTGTTTATAGGTCGCCTCTGCCTTTAGATTGTTCAAAGCAGCGTTTTCTACTGCTTCTGCTGAACCTCTGAGTAACGGCAGGAAACTCCAACACAATAACCGCTCATTGTTTCACAGGAGTATGTATGAGGAAAAAACGTTTGCAAGGAGTTTCACAGAAACTCTGCTGAGTCCACCTATGATCCTAAACACCACTGGACTGAGCGACGCGGGTGGAGAGGACAGCTGTGAGTCTGACTCACCATGATGGCTGCCCACATCACTCAGCCTGAACCACAGCGACAGGTTTGGGGGAAAAAAAAGCCTATCTTGTGCATTCAGAGAAGGGGGTCTGGATGTCATTTGAAGAGTTGAAGGACAGTTTAAATATCTACAGGTGAGAAATGTTATTAGATCATCTCATTAATGTGAATTTCACTTCATTTCAGTTCCACTTTGAAACTGAAATGAAGAAAGATTGCTTTGGAAACGGAATCATCTCCAAACTATACAACATATTGGGGAAGGGGTCCCTATGAGTCTTCTTTGCAGAAGCTCAATGCCTGGAGGGAGGATTTACAGGAAAATGTATCTTCAGAGGACTGGGAGAAGGCGTAAGCTGAAGCACAAACTACTAAAACACGCCTCAAAGTACTGCAATATAATTGGCTAATGAGAGCTTATGTGACACCAGAAAAGCTTAACAAGTACAATGGAGCCATTCCAGACCTGTGTAATAGATGCAGGAAAGAGAAGGGAACATTTCTTTATTGTATCTGGAAATGCAAAAAAGTAGTACAATTCTGGAAGGAGATTAAACAAGACACTACATTAGGGATAAAATTAATATTTAATCCTAAATTGTTTTTTCCTAGGATTATACCCAAAGAGACATCATGTCCAGAAAAATTATTGCTGCCATATATTTATGTCTATTACTTGCAAAAAGAGTCAAAAGAGTACCATTAAAACCAAAATTCATTCATTGGATTATAGAAATTTCCACAACCTTGTCAATGCTAAAGATTACTTTCATTTTAATGGGGAAATTATCGCCATTCCCAAATATTTTGGTTCCTTTTATGGAATATATAGAAAACATGGATATGAGGGGTGCTGGGGGTGAACTATAGTTGCCATTGGTCTCCTGGGGTGTCCTTAAATAACTTTTGTTATTTGTATTTCACTTTGAACTATACATTTGAGTCTTTATTTTCTAAACTAAGTAGACCATACTGTATATCTCTGCTTCTGTCTCCTTGAACCCCAGTCGGCCTCAGCAGATGGCCGCTCACACTGAGTCTGGTTCTGCTGGAGGTTTTTCCTGTTAAAAGGGAGTTTTTCCTCTCCACTGTCGCTACAAGCATGCTTAGTGTGAGGGATTGCCTTTGAGTCAATGAGTCGACGCAATCAACTGGTTTTCCTTAGATAGAAAACTTTGAATCAGTTTGACTGGATGACCTAGTGAACTGTAAAGTGCCTTGAGATGACATGTGTTGTGAATTGGTGCTATAGAAATAAACTGAATCTCATTTCAGCATGAAGCGTAGAAGTAGAAAACAGCCTTTCAGGACCTTCATCTTACATCAGCTCCACTGATGTAAGATGATACCACGTCATCTAAGACCCGCCCCCACATGGAGCAGCCAGGAGTTTAGAATTTAATTAAATATATTTCTATAATAACGTGTCAATTCACAATAAAGTCATCTCAAGGCGCTTCAAAGAGACAATAAAGTCATATTGGTTCAGTTTTCCAAGGAAAACCAGTTGATTTCATCCAGTCATTGACCTGTTGCTCCTGGATAACAATCTTTGCTTGCATTTAGTTGTTGACTGTTCAGCAATCCCTCACACTAAGCATGCTTGTAGCGACAGTGGAGAGGAAAAACTCCCTTTTAACAGGAAGAAACCTCCAGCAGAACCAGGCTCAGTGTGAGCGGCCATCTGCTGAGGCTGACTGGGGTTCAAGGAGACAGAAGCAGAAACGTCAACCAGCTCCACAGGCGGCCCCTTCCAGGAAACACACAGCTGGGCAAAGGAAACAACTTAAATCGGACAAGAAGTTTATTTCAAATTTTTTTTCAGATTTAAAATTTCTTTTCATTTTCATTCATTTCATTTTTAAATCATTTTCCAGCTTAAAAATTTTTCTGGTTCAACTGTTTGTTTTTTTTCAAAAATACTTTTCAGTTCATTTTTTTTCACTTTCCTTTAATTTATTTATTTTTTGCAGACTTATGGTGTCTGACATGTTATTTATTGAACACTTTGTACTCACAGCCATGGGGCGACTTGGTGTGTTGATCATGGACCTGGAGCTGAAGGCCTGAGAGTAACTTCTCATGTCAGGAGGACTGTATTCTACAGAGAGGAGAGAAAAAAAAACATTTGAGGTTTTTAAATATGCCACCAGCTATCACATGGAAAATACTGTCAAACATTTTTTCAAGAAAACCTGGATTTTATTAAACAACTAAGATTTCTTTCTTTCTTTTTGTTGCTGGAAAAGATAACCTTCTTGAATTGAACTCCCCCAACGTGAAAACATGACTGAGTTCAAACATTTTCGTTCAAATTTATTCATAGAGCAATTTAGTGCAAAATATAATTAATATTTAGTATATAATTGTATCTATTTAGAGCATATAATGGTTCAATCTGAAAAACTCACTCAGAGAGAAAAGAAAATTAGAAGAAATTTATTGATACATTTACTTAGTCTTTGGCGCTCAGACCTCGGCAGGAAACATAGCGCTTCATTTTGACAGATATGCATGAACAGGAATAAAGAATAGGGCCTGAAACTGGTGGTAGAGTGGAGATAGATGAAGATGGTCAGTCTGTAGACTGCTGGTTGCCGAGGTGGTCTGCTGAGCTTTATGGGGAGATCCAGTGGAGTGTATGAGCTGATACTAGAGCTTCACTCAGGGACCTGGAAGATGGAAGTCCAGTACCAACAAATAGGCACTGATACCATTTGAGAGCCAAAAGTTTATTCAACTATTGTCACCCATTCCAGGTAGGCAATAAAAAGTTGTACTGGATTCACTTTGTATTAGTCTTTTTCCTGCTTCACAAAGATAGGCAGCAGCTTGACAAACCCATGATGGCAATTATTTTACATCCAAGTAGTATGCAGTTCTTCATATATACACACACACACATCAATTTCAAACACATGGTATCGGTATCGGCCAATACTGCACAGCCAGGTATATGGTATCGGTGTCAGGGTCAAAAATTGGCGTCGGCACAACACTAGCCCAAGAGGATGGGTTTAATGCAGAGTTAATTTCGTTGCTCTGTACTTGTGACAATGTAAAGGGCGGATTAGATTTCTGCAACCGCACACATCAAATGTCGCTTGGGTCTGGTCAAAAACAACTTTTGCTGGTATGCTTCCTCACCGTCGCTCTGGAATTTCTAGGGACGCACAGCAGTTTCCAGCCAAAGGGAAAGCCTATTCGAGAACTCATGAGAAATTTAGCGGATCGTCATGAGAACTTTGGCGGTGCCCGGCGGGAATGTTTATCTTCCAAAACAACAATGGCGCGTCTGCAAGATGTCACGGTCACAGAGATGGATCTAGAGTTGCTAGACATCGAAGAGGAACAGGTTCTGTTAACGGAGTTCCCAAAAAGGCAGATTAACATTAGTTCTTCCTCTGTTTTGAAAAATGGCGCTCCCCGGCACCAAATCAAGAAGGACAACCACACAGACGACCGGAAAGACATAGCAAGGACCAATCACATCTACTTTTTGTCTGCGCACTTCCGCTTGAGGTTTGCGCTAGTTTGCGACCTTCTGATGCGAAGTAAGGATTTTTTTGAGGTGCGTGAAGACGGTTGCAGAACCTCTAGGCAGGGGGTGTGGTCGCGCACAAAGACAGATTTGACGGTTGCAGAGGCTATGCATCAGAAGCATATATTGGCCTTAATGTGTAAACACTATAAGACACTGGAAGACAAAACAAAAACGGAAAGTGAGGAGCAAATCATCCCACTCTGTAGCTGGTTAGTTGTCAAAGGCTCGTTTTAAAAGAAGCCTGAACAAAAGAGAAGAACTCTTGAGAAACCCTCAGTCCTCTGCTCATGGAGCTGGAAGAATAGCTACTGAAAGCTCAGCTTAAAACAGGAAGCAGTGAGCAGCACCTGCAGGGGAACAGGAATGTCCCCAGAGGCACGAAGGGGGGACATCTTCTTCAACACAAAGGAATCCAATTTCTGTCAGAGGGAGCAGATGAGATTAATCAGAGTTATCTACGCCGCCTCACTGCTTGCATGTTCATCATCATCACCCACTCCGTGTTCTGATCTATATACAGTAAGAGATGACATCATGTCAGGCTGGACGCAGACCGCAGGACACTTTTTCATGCAGCTCATAGGAACCGCATGAAGAAACAACACAGAGGATAGTTTGGACTGTGGCAAAGACCATGAGAAAACATAAACCTACACACAGCCTGCTGCCTGGAAGGAAGGAAGGAAGGAGGAAATGCTGCTGGGAGGAGCCCTGGGCTGCATGCCTGAACATTAGCATCACCTCATGCAAGATTAGTGGAGGAACCGTCACCAAACCACAGAGATAACAGAACATACAGCTATGGAAGACCGATAGAAATGAACTGGAATAGAAGAATAAACACGATCTGAGAGATTCTATAGGAAGGAAAGACAAACAACACGGCAGAATACAAACTTCTGCAAGCACTATAAATATGAAATTATTACATACTATTCAATAAAAGATAGGGTTGTCATGATACTAAACTTTTCAACTCGATAACGATACTAGGGAAAATATTCGATACTCGTTACCATTTTCGATACCACAAGGATAAAAACTCCAAATTTCAACAGAAATATTTTGATTAATAATTAAAATACAATAAATAAATAAATACAATAAACAATAAGAACAACATTTTGAGGTTGTTTGCTGTGCACAGTATTAAGGAAGCTTGATAAAAAACTTACAAAATTAAAATTGAGTGTTCCTTCCTTGGCTATGCTTTGCACACATAACAATGACACTGACCAAACCGGTTAA